CTCCAATTAGGTCTTAAACAGCAAGCGAGGATTTATTGAGCTGGCCAGCGACTACAGTTACAGCACCCTGACGAAGCAGAGGCTGAACTGCCGTGCCGACTACAGGAGCTACATTTTATTATTAAATTCTGTGGAGGCCCAGAGAAAAATGTGTCTTTCAAATTCTGGGCCCCCCAATATGAAGGAAACTCTCTTTATTTATACTTTTTCCAGTCCTTTGTCTCCCAAATTTGGAATGAGACTTCCGGGCCTTCTGAGAAAGAAGGCCTGCGTGCTGGGAAGGGGCCATGAGACCATATCTCAAGGCCTAGCCTGATGTCAGTACCTTCCTATCTATGTGTTCTAGGACAGCGTGTCCTGCCTGGCCGAAGCGCCAGATATGCAGCCCAGCACAGATGTTCCTCTCTCTAAGGTAAAATAAATAAAAGGAAACCTGACGTAGGGCATAAAGTTCATTCAACATATGACACAAAGTGGGAGGACACTGTGGGGGTTCAGGACGAGTTACCCCAAGATGTGCCTGAGTGGTGTGTGGATTGTTCTGAGCTCTGTGGGCTCAAAAGAAACTTCTGCCCCTCCCCTCATACCTACCTAGAACTTGAATTCGGGGCTTTGCCTAGAGTTAGAGATGATCAGAGATAACGTTTTATGACCTATCTGTACGGCAGAGCAAACCTCTAATTAGTGATCATCTGCTCTTCTAATCATCCTTCAGTGACCTTCCTCCCCTCTGAAGCCCCAAGGTCATCATTAGCTTGGGATGTCTTATACACCCATGTTCCCTTTCTGTCTTGGAACCTCTCATGCGTGTGGGATCTCTGTCTCATGTGTGCAGAGTTCCCTTACGTGTGCATATGTTAAACTTGGTTATTTTCTCTTGCTAACCTGTCTCATGTCTATTTGACTATTGGACCAGCCGAGAGAGCCTAGAGAGCAGAGCAACGTTCCTTCCTCCCCCCCCAGCACCGTCTAAGCTCGCCCCTGCCTCACAGCTCTCCACTCTCTCCCTCTGCATCCAGGAGAAGTGACGGAGGCAGTGACCCTATGCCACCCCTTCATCCATTCAAAGGCCAACTAGGACCACTGTGTTGGGCTTTCTCTGGGATTTTCCTACACTGAGTTGCATAAACCAAGAATTGTTTCTGTCTTCCAAATTGTGACACAAGCCAAATAGTCCCAAGGGCCCCCAATGCGGACACATCCTGCCCTTCCGTCTTGGCACTAACGTCATGGAACACAGTGAGGAACCGCATGAAAAGCAGACGCTCGGTCCTAACCTACGACCCTTTGAATATGGAAGCTAGTTTTTCATTGATTAAAAGTGTGGGAGAAAATATTTGCAAATCATCTATCTTATAAGGGATTAATATCCACAATATATAAAGAAGTCCTACAACTCAACCAAAAACCAAACAACCTGATTCAGAAATGGGCAAGGAACTTGAATAGACATTTCTCCAAAGAAATACAATGGCCAATATGCACACGAAAAGATGCTCAACGTCACAAAGTATCAGGGAAATGAAAATCAAACCACAGTGAGAGGCCCAGATACCCATTAGGGCGACTGTTACAAAGCACACACACAAAATCACAAGTGTGGGTGACGATGCAGAGAGATTGAAACCCGCTGCATTGTGGCTGGGGATATAAATTGGTACAGCCACTATGAAAAACAGTATGGTGGTTCCTCAAAAACTTAAAAATAGGATTAGCACATGACCTAGCAATTCCATTTTGGGGCATATCCCCAGAAGAACTAAAAGCAGAGACTCGGCGAGGTATTTGCACACCCATATTCATAGCAGCATTACTCACCACAGCCAAAAGGTGGAAGCAGCCCAAGTGTGGAATATACACTGAGTGGCCAGATTATTATGACCACCTGACGTTGCAGGCAAATTAGCCGTACACTGCATCGTATGGGATATGGAAGCCTAAGGCCTGTTCGAACACCTTTGCTGTCTGCAGTTACCAAGATAAAACATCTCCAACTCACACAGGAACACAAAGATTAGACAGTCGAGCATTGGAAAAAAGGCATGTGGTCAGATGAATCACGTGTCCAGTTGCATCATGCAGATGGCAGAGTGAGAATTTGGCGGAAACAGCATGAAAGCATGCACCCCACATGCAAGAGTACAACCCTTCAAGCTGGTGGGGGCAGTGTTATGGTTTGGGGCATGTTTTCCTGGCATGATTTGGGCCCTTTAGTTTGTGTGGAACAACATCTGAATAGCACAACATACCTAAGTATCGTTGCTGATCAAGTTCATCCTATCATGTTGATGGCGTATCCCAATGGAGATGGCTTCTTCCAACAAGACAATGCGCCATGCCACGGTGTTCGTATTGTGAAGGAGTGGTTTCAAGAATATGAAGGAGACTTTACCTTGCTTAGGTGGCCCCCACAATCACCAGATCTCAATCCAATTGAGCATTTGTGGGACGAAGTTAAAGGAGCCATCAGGTAGCTGGTTCCACAACCATTAAATCTCACAGAACTGGACAGTGCTATTCATCAGGCATGGTGTCAGATTCCTCGCATCATCTTTCAGCATCTCGTGGAGTCAATGCCAAGAAGAATCACCACAGTACTGAAGGCAAAAGGTGCCCAACGAAGTACTGATGGGGTGGTCATAAATAATCTGGCTACTCAGTATATATATATATATATATATATATATATATATATACACACACACACACATACTAGAGGCTCGGTGCACAAAAATTTGTGCACTCAGGGAGGGTCCCTCAGCCCGGCCTGTGCCCTCTCACAGTCTGGGACCCCTCAGGGGATGACCACCTGCTGGTTTAGGCCAGCTCCCCGACAGTCAGACATCCCTCTGGCAGCCCGGGGATTTGCATGTTTCTCTTTTATTAGATTAGATCATGGTGTGTTTTTTCTTGCCATCATTAGCCATAGTAACTGTTGCTTATGTATTAAAGTTCTATTCCTGCTAAGTCTAGAAGCAGCCTCAGAATCCTTCTCACCATTCATCTTAAGTCTGATGCTTAGTTGATCAGAATTAATACCTGAGATGAAGCCTCTTACTGCAGGTGTATCCCAGAATGTATGGCATCCTCTCTGCTTTATGATCCAGCTAATAATACATTGCCTCAATCATGTTGATTGAGGTCATTTTTCCCCTTGCAGTTTCTAGTAGTAGATTACCATCTACTGCCTAGGAAGTAAAATTGACTGTCTCCCTGTAGATTGCAAAATAAGGCATTTTTCTCATCAATAAAATGTCATTCTTTCAGCATGAGTAATTTTGTCAACAACGTTTTGAGGCAGTAACAGTTTATAACAAATTGAGTGAATTATTGTTTCAGGTACTGTGCTGTGTCATACACAGATTTCATTTTATCTTTGCAACAACTCTATACAGTAGGTACTGTAATGACACAGATGAGAACACTGAGGTATAGAGAGAACAGGTAACTTGACCAGTAAAACCCAAAAGTGGCTGAGTCTCATTTCAAAGCCATGAGCCTTGGCATTTAACCATTACACTCCACTCAGTACTGTGCTAGAGCCTGCTCTCACTGGCTCACACATTTTCAGGAATTTTGTAAGCTGGTTGTTAAACATGTTCATTATTAAAAATTAAATTATGTAATCTTAAAAGTGAATAAATTACATTAAAACCAAAGGAAAATACATACTCTAAATTAATCACTCCTCAATTATTTACTACACTTTATTGTTCTGACTCTTGACATTATTTATATCTTTTGGGTCTTTCTGGTAGAATATAATAGTGTATTACCGCATGTTTCTCCTCAGCTCTGCACTTAGTAGTATCACATTAGCAGCTGAAATCAGCCTTGGATGGAGAATTTATGCCACAGAAATTGGCCGACAGTATAAATCAGAGTTTTGTTTTCTTTGATTGAGAGTCAGTTGTTAAACATTTATCAGCACAACACTGACCACATTGGTGGTGGTGGTCTTGTCAGAATGTGTTAGATTATGCAGATGAAAATCTATTTAAACAGATTTGATATAGATATTTTCAAAGATGGAAGAATTGCCCCTGTCAACTATGTTAGTTGATTCGTATCTTCACTAATTGTCATCACTGCAAAGTTTTCAGTCCCCATATGGATTGCTGGATATAATATGTCATGCCCTGTCCATGTCCCCCTCCCTTTGTAGCCTTTGTTACCTTAAGGACTCTAGTTTTCCATTTATATGTTTAAGTACCAACCTTACTGGCTTAAAAATGTAAGCTTTCAACACTGCTCTGTTCCGTATCCTTCCAATGAAAAGTGGAGTTGGGTTGCGGCACAGGAGAGAAATTCAGAAAGGGAATATTGAAGTAATGACTGCAGTAGGAGAAGAGGGAGCCTATTTCCCGGGCCACAGACGCTGGTGCCCTGGACCACAGGGCTGGCAGCTTCTCCGGGTGGCTGCAGCCTGGGACCTCGGGGCGGGTGGCTTGTCCATCTCCTGGGCCGCAGCCAGCCTCAGGCGCTGGCGCCTGGACCGCAGGTGGGCAGCTTCTCCGTGTCCCCTGTGATGCAGTGTGGGCAGCTTCTCCGGCCTGCTGAGGCCTGGGATCACAGGGCAGGTGGCTTCTTCATCTCTCAGGCCACAGCCAGCCTCAGGCGCTGGAGCCGGACTTCTCTGTCTCCCCTGACTTCTGCATCTCCAATAGGCCTGGAGCGGCCAGAGCCGGGATGCTTGCATGGTAGCTGTGGCTGCAACACAAGTATCCCGGCTCTGTCCTCTGCCATCTTTGTTGGGTTAATGTGCATATCTCTGGATCGGTTGGTGGGTGTGGCTGGTGGGCGTGGCTTGGGCATAGCGAAGGTACGGTCAATTTGCATGTTTGTCTATTATTAGGGTAAGACATGTTGCTACCCCTTCTATCATGGAAGGGGTTCCATGTAATCAGCTTGCCACCAGAGGAATAATTTGAGCCTCAGGGACTTTATCTGGAGCTCAGGGTTTGTCACTGCTGCTGGGGAGGTGGGCATTTGGTGGTGGCAGCAATAGGGATCACATTGGGATCAGCATCTGTCATTGGAGTCACTGACTTCAGTTTACAACAATCCACTGACATTCTACAAAGACCCTTCCATCTTAGGTAGAGTGGTGGTAACCAAAATTGCCATCTCTGCATAGTTCCGGTCTATGAGTAATGCCAGGGGTCTTTCCCAGCATCTGGAAGGGTTCAGGAATCTGGATAAGGTGCTACGTGTAAATTAATAGACTAGAAATATAATATAAATTTGTAATCCATGGGGGAGCCAGAGGTAGTTTAGCTATAGTAGCTAATTTCTCTTTATCTCCGGACCCAGGGCTCTTTTTATTCTCACATTTTGCCCTATAGCAAAGTAGATATACATATCAAAGGTAAGGTTTAGTATACAGTAGGCATTGTCAGTTTGTGGGGACTGCCTTCAGCTATTCAGCTGTTTGGCAGGCAGGAGGCAACAACATGTAGATTAAAATGCCCTCAGCTGTCTGGCAGCAAGCAATCATTTATGTAAATTCAGGTTTGGGGGAATTGCTTTTGGCCATTCCAGTAGGCAATAATATGTATCTTCAGCCCTTACTCTAGGCCAGGGGTGGGCAAACTTTTTGACTCGAGGGCCACAATGGGTTCTTAAACTGGACTGGAGGTCTGGAACAAAAGCATGGATGGAGTGTTTGTGTGAACTAATATAAATTCAAAGTAAACATCATTACATAAAAGGGTACGGTCTTTTTTTCTTTAGTTTTATTCATTTCAAATGGGCCGGATCCAGCCAGCGGGCCGTAGTTTGCCCACGGCTGCTCTAGGCTCAAGGTCTACCAACCTTTTGATGAACTTCTTGCATTTATGACCTGCTGGAATTGGCCTCCAGCATGAGGGTGTTCCTAATCTTTGTGACTCCCCAAAAACATGGTATTGATTTTATTTATTATTTTATCATAGAGGCTCCCACTTGGCTCTTCCTCCCAAGACTAATGAAGATGTATCGTGTACTGAGAAGTTACCTTAACTCAAATCTCCGTCCAAACCACTTCCCATACCATGCCCCCCGCCCCCGCCCCTGTAAGTAATCAAGATGATAGTCTTCCCACACCATTGTATTTTCCAAGGCCGTGGAGAAGGGAGTATCTCATAAGTTCTCTCATATGAGGATGAAAGTAGCAGGTCATACATTTAGAACACCTTTACTTCCCCAAGTCTTCCATTTTGCTGTACTTATTGTCAATTTTGCATAGACCACAAATGGAACAGACTGTTAGTACCACCCTGTGATGGTTCATTTTACGTGTCAACTTGACTGGTCTTAAGGATGCCCAGATAGCTGGAGAAAAAACAAAAACCACATTCTTTCTAGGTGAGTCTGTGGTGGTGTCTCTGGAAGAGGTTACCATTTGAATCAGTAGACTGAGTAAAGAAGAACTTCCTTGCCAGTGAGGTGGGCACCATCCAATTTGGGGTGGGGTGGGGGGCTGAATAGAGCAAGCAAAATGGTGCAGGCAGGATGAATTCACTCCTTCTGCTTGGGCTGGAACCTCTGTTTTCTCTGCCTTTGGACACCAGTGCTCCTGCTTCTCAGGCTTTTGGTCTCAGACCAAGGCTTAAGGCATTGGCTCCCACCCCAAATTCTCAGGCCTTTGGCTCTGAGCGAGTCTTTCCTGGCTCCCCAGTTTGCAGACAGCAGAGCAGGGAACTTCTCAACCTCTATAGCCATGTGAGCCAATTCCTAAAAGAAACCTCATCATATATATCTATCTCCTGGAGAATCCTGACTAATACACCTTCCCCCCACCAGCTGTTCAAACTTGTGGACTAAACCAAAATCTCTCAAAAGCACATCCCTATCAGTCACCAGATCTCATTTCAACTTTCTGCCCTTGGGCTACACCTTAAGAATCCATTCCCATGCATGTTTACCAGATCGTGGACATAAATGAGGACTTTGGGGTGTGTTTGTGTCTCCTCCCAAGTTTGTCCCTGGAACCTGCTTTCTGGGCATGTGGGGACCTGACCCTGCACGGAGGGTGGTTGGGATGGGAAATGAAGGGAGTTGGCTTACCTGGCGTGTGCTAAATCCTCCAGGGGAGGGTGTTTGCAAGTAGGGTAAAGTGAGGTTTAGGGGTAGATCCCTCCTGAGGGAACTGGTGTTCTTACAAGAAGAGTCACCGAAGAACTTGCTGTCTTGCCTGTTGGTTCACCAAGAGGTCATATGAGCCCACAGTGAAATGGTGGCCACATACCTGGTCCATGCGAAGAGAAGAGGCCCCAGAACGAAACCTTTCTGGCCAGCACCTGGATCTCGGACTTCCCAGACTCCAGAACTGTGAGAAATAAATGTAGTAAATGTAGTAAATAAATGGCCCATCTCCAAATATCAGCCCAACTGGGATTAGGGCTTCAACATAGAAAGGGGGGAGGGGGAGGCACACAAACATTCAGTCCATCGCGGTTGGTATGGGAATGCCATTCCCTAGAAGAGATAACTAGTGACAGGGGAGGGGGGATGGTCCCTGGGCCTATAAGGGCGCACACACACACACACACACACACACACACACACACACACACCGTCTGGGCGTGGCCCAGGCTCTGCCTCAGGCCTCCCTTCTCTCTAGCGCTGCCCAGATGGGTGAAACTCTGCCAAGTTCGCATTAAGCAGTCCGCACGTTCCAGAATCTGAGTCCCACTTTTCAAGGAGTTACTGTGGGAGCGCGGGGGTATTTTGGACTTTAATTTTAGGCGACAGGTGTTTCATCCGGAAGTGCAATTCTAGCCCCGGCTCCGGGTGCCTGGAAGCGGTGGAAACCGAGTCCGTGAGGGTGCGGGTACTTCAAGGAGCCCTCAGTGGGACGCGGCCCCGGCGGGCCCGGGTCAGGGAGCGAGCCCGGAGCCATCAGGCGGCGGGGCGAGGAGCTGACCAATCCCAGGGCAGAGGTGGGGCTGAGACGGGCGCCTGGGCGGGGCTGGGGCAGGGGGCGGGGCGCAGGATGAGAGGATCTGGCCAATCCCAGGGCAGGGGCGGGGCGGGCGGAAGGCGCTGGGCGGGACTGGGGCAGAGGACCTGGGGGGACTGGATCTGGGAGTAACCCGCGGTCTGCAGCCCAGGCGCGTCCACACTTTCTGCAGCGCCGAGTGTCCCAGGGGAGGCTGAGGCTCGAGCCGCCATGGCGCTGCATGCGGTCGTGTTCGACTTGGACGGGGTCCTGGCGCTGCCATCGGTCGCGAGCGGCCTCGACCGCGCCGAGGAGGAGTTGGCATTGCCCAGGTAAGGGCACCCGGCGCCGTAGGGGGCGGGAATCCGGCCTAGAAGTTGCCTTTCGGGGTGTCCAGCCCTGCGTTCAGAGCGCTGTCGTTTGAGAGCCCCGCGGAAGGAGGTTAAAACGATTCCCCGGCTCTAAACCAGTACGTGTAAGTAGATACAGTGTCTTCCCAAATGTTAAGAAATTAAACCTCTCCAAGGACTCCAGAATTGCCCGCTGTAGGCAGAAAGCTGTTCCTGAAGCGAGAGGAATTACTCGCGGAGCTGCCCGCTGCCCGCCTGATTCTGTGCGATGGAGTGGATCTTAGAAACTGCCCTGAGGTTTCGAAGAGAAAAAGGTTCCGTGCCCTGCAGTTTTACTGATAATAGCAAACTAGAGAAACAGCTTCAAAACCCAATCATCGGGAAATGGCAAGCTAGTACGCAGCACCACTAACCCTGTCTTTCGGAATAATATTGCAGCGACATTGGAAAATACGTGTTAGGTGTAATAAGTGAAAAGAACAGACCCACCAAAATGCCAAACTACTTATACAATGTGGTCTCAACTATGGGAAAAAAGCTACATGTAGAAAAATGTTTGGAAGACATATCCCCAAATATCTCTGGGATTATTAATCCCAGGTGGGATTATGAATGATTTCCTTCATTTGTCTACTTTTTTTGTATTTTCCAGTTTTCCTACTTATGAACATATGTTACTCCTACAGCCAGAGGAAAGGAAAGCATATTTATTTTAAAAGGTAAAAAAAGAAAGATCACCTTGGCAACACCCAAGGAAGAGTAAATTCTAAACTACTGGCAAGAACAAGGAGTAGGGTAGAAACTTTGAGAGTTCTGCTCCATCTAAGGAATTCTTGATTCTTGTGATGCCAAAGACCAACAGGGCCTTTTAACCTGCTATTCTTTTTTTAAAATGTATATTTTTATTGATTTCAGAGAGGAATGGAGAGGGAGAGAGAGACAGAAACATCAATGATGAGAGAGAATCATTGATCGGCTGCCCCCTGCATGCCCCCGACCGGAATCGAACCCGGGACCCTTCAGTCCGCAGGCCGACGCTCTATCCACTGAGCCAAACCATGTGGGGCTAACCTGCTATTCTTATAAAGATTTCTAAAAGACTGGTGTCTGCAAACACACCAAGCCAAATGATGTTGGGAAATCTAGAGCAACCCTCACTTTCGCACATGTGGAAACAGGCTTACCAAAGGGGTGAACGTGATCACACAATGCTTAGATATTACGGTTGATTAAAAAAACAACTTTGCTTTTCTGTAAGATATAACATTCCAAGACAGTAATCTCTTGGTAAATAATAATCTCTGTAAAATGACATAAAAGAACATTAGAAAGCCCTCGCTGGTTTGGCTCAGTGGATAGACCGTTGGCTGCAGACGGAAGGGTCCTGGGTTCTATTTTGGTCAAGGGTATGTACTTTGGTTGCAAGCTCACATGCAGGAGGTAACCAATTGATGTCTCTCTCTCACATGAATGTTTCTCTGTTTCTGTCTCTCCCCCTTCCTTCTACTCTCTCTAAAAATTAATGGAAAAATATTCTCAGGTGAGAATTAACAAAAAACAAAAAGAACAATATAAAGCCCATATTGTTTAGATTCAATACACAATTTCAATATGTAAAGAAGAAATAATATGCAAGACTTTAAAAACGCTATACCTGGCTTATGAGAAGTGTGCCTTGAACATTGGAAGCAATTCATAAACTCCCAATGTGTGGACCCCAAACACCCAGAGTACTACTGTGGGATGCCCCCACAAGGAACCATTACTCTTGGCTTGCCTGACTCTTGCTACCCCTGAGAGCTTCCTGTTTGAATTTGGTTCTGAATTTCCGCAAGTTCCTTCCTAGGGCAGGCTGAAATTTCTAGAACATCTGTTGTAATAAAAAATATATGTATACATATAGAGCATAGTTATTATTTGGCAAAACTTCCCATGTAACTTCAAGCATATTAAGTATGCCTAATTAGTTTGAAAACTTTTTTTTATAAGGAGAGAGAATAAATCCTTGAGGTATTCCAGGCCCCATTGGAATATCCCAAAGTCATCTCTTGGTTAAAAAAGTCTCTTAAAATTTAAATTTGAAAGGCTGTCAAACTTCACCAAAAGACCATAACATAAGCCTTTTTTGAAAACCTGAGTAAAACAAACACATGTTTTGTGGTATTAACTTTAAAAGACATTCATTAAATTTAAACTGGTTTTAATATTAAGTACTTTGTCCAGCCCACAGAATGCTGCTTAATTTATATAAGTATTTTAATCTTTTTAGGCTAATAAAATATTATGCCTAAAATATTTATGCCATTTGGAAGCAGAAAATGCACCACTCATATCACATAAATCCTATACATGTAATCCAAGGATAACTCACTTTCTTCCTTTTCCCTTAAAAATGCATTTCTATACTTTATATCTTCTATTATTAAAATTACTAGAGGCCCGGCGCACGAAATTCGTCCATGGGTGTGGTCCCTAGGCCTGGCTCGATCGAAGTGTGAGCGTCTGGCGTGGAAGGGCGGGTCCCAGCTGACCTCTGGGCCCTGGGCAGTACCTGGGCCCCCAGACCCTCACACACCCCCCGCCACCTGAGTCATGGCACCCGAGTCCCCACGCAGAGTTGCGGTGAGCGTGACTGGACGTCGCAGGCCAGGGCTCAGTGTGGGCCTCTGGGCTGCCCAGCGGTGCCACACGGAAGCTGGGCGGGCAGCACGCTCTCTCCCAGTCAGCCAGCCTCACAAACCGGCTCCTGTGAAAACCCACGGGGAGCCCAATCAGACCCTGTACTCTTGGCGGCTGCGGCCAGACTCACCCAGAAGAGGCCGTGTGTGGGTACAGGGTGGGCTTCTGGTGGGTGCCTGGCACCTGAGCGTGGGGGGGTTGGGGGTGGGGGGGTTCCCCGGTGTGTGCCCTCGAGTCCCAGGGGAGGGTAACAGGGGGAGTGAGAGTGAGCTCAGCGGACACTCTGCATTTTCACCACACCTCCATCCCCATCATCCCCGCCCCCAGGTAGCTGGCCAGAGGCTGCAGCATGTGTCCTGGATGCACACCATGTTCCGCACCGCCTCCTGGTGATCAGCGCACATCATAGGGAACAGTCAAACTCCAGTCGAACTCCTGATCGAGGGGACAATTTGCATATTAGGCTTTTGTTATATAGGATATACTGGTAATTTCTTTCCAACTTACTTGAGTTTTTAACTATTAGAAACCTCAGTTTCCAATGATAACCGCAAAGTAAGCAGTCAGTATTTCCTAGATTGACTTTTATGAACATATTGTGTAACCTTTAGAAATGGGTTTCTCTGTTGGCAATTACACTCACTTTCAAGAAACACACCTCCAGTAAAGCACAAGACATTCATCAACAGCACCAATTCCACTCTACAGCCTTTCTTCAATCAAAACCAAAGCAGGCCAACTTAAGACTGGTCTAACAGTCAGCGTTTCAGTTTTTCATGTTATTTCAAAATACCTAGATATTCAATAACTTTTATCAAACTTACTAATTTAGGAAGAAATAGTTGAAATAAATTAAATGGATTTGCTCAGATATGGCTAAGGTTGTTTCTGTTTGTTTTTTTACCTCAACAATTAGGCTGCCACCCAAATGTTGGCAACGGACAGGCAAATCCATTCACCCATTATTGGAATGTTTCTTTCCATCATCTGGGTACGTTTTTCTAGTTTACAGACAGTACAAGCTTAGGGCTGCCTCTGAGAGCCATAAAAGCTTGGTTATATGGAACCTCCGTCCATTTCCCTTTGTAATGGTAAAACAGATCTAGCTGCAGCATCAGCTAAATAATTTCCTTTTGCTTTCATGGTGGCAGCTTTAGAAGTCCTGGAATTTTGATAATTGCCACCTATTTTAATTTCTGTATGGCCTCTAACAATTTTCCAACCTGTTTTCCATAGCTACTATCAGTGTAAACATTGGCTATTTGATCTTTGGCCGCTGGATAAGCCTGAGTTAGAATAATTAGGCTTGTTGGACATTTTATTCAGGTAAATAACAACCTTTAATGATGTCCACCATAGAAGTTATTGCATATCCAGCCTGGTAACATTCCTGCTTATCTTTTCCATCTGTAAACCAAATTAAGTCAGCATTATTAAGGAGTTTCCTATAAACCATTGCTAGGAATAAGAAGATGGTTGGTAAGCAAAATGCCATTGTGGATGTCTTTATCCTGCAAAGAAAGTAGCAAAGTTGCTGGGTTAAGACTGTTACATGAAGTTTAAATGAGATTAGGTGCAGAAGGCAGAGCCAGTTGGCTGACAGAAATGTAAAATGTGATGAGAATTCAGTGGAGATTTAACATAATGGGGAACATAAAGGAGAGCCCATGACTATCTTTTGCATTTGTTTGTTTGCATAATATGTCTACAGCATAAATGGCTGTCATGCAGGGAGGGAGCCCTTTGGCTACTGAGTCTAGTTGCTATTATAGCCTGTAGGTCTATGATCGCTATAGTTTTTATACGTAGTAATAAAAGAAATTACTACGTATAAAAAGTTAGAAGTTTATAATTAAGGTGTCCAGAGTGGAAGTTTTAGATAATTCTTTAGAGATTATATAGCTTGTTTATTTTCTGGGTGCCACTGAATTAGATCAGGTCAATTTGATTTTAATAAGATATACAGAGGCAGGGCCATTCATGAAAAATTTGGGACCCAATTATGACAATACTTAGTCAAACCCAGGAATCCTCTAAGCTACTTTCTTGTTTTCAGAAGAGGACAAGATACAGTTCCTCAAGGTTCATTAGCAGCCCATTTTTGGATATTAGATAACTGAAGTATTTTGCCTGAGATAGACTGACTCAGAGCCATGTCCCTTTATAGCTCGCTGTTGTAGTAAGTAAATTGTGTCCTTTGGGGAGTCTAGTAATTTTCTAGAGCATAAAACTAAATCATCCACACATTGGATGAGAATGGATGCTCTAGGAAATTTAACATCATTTAAATTAGATTTTAGTAT